CCCTGGGGAACACCAGAGGAAGGAGGCGGGTCAGGAGCAGGAGGAAAGTATGGAATGGTGGCTACCTGCTTCCCTTGGCATGCGCCCAAAGAACTGGATGGTGCTCAGCTCCTGAGCATTCTGATCAAAGATTCCAGAGAAGAATCCTGATCAAGAGGGGGAAATTCATTCTTCTGGGTGCCAGCATCTCTTACTGGTTCCACGAGAGAAATGTCTTCCCTGGCCTTTTGACTATTGATAGGGTTCTTTTGCTTCTTACACATTATTTGTATTTTTGTCTTGATACTATGATGATTTTAAGCGGACCACCTCAGTGCGATTTTGTTTTATTGTTTTCTCTTGGTTCTCCCAGCTGTGAAGCGCAGGAGTGGATGCGTGACAGTAACTGATGCACTGGTCTAGGGAACAGGGCTGGGAGGACGGAGGGGGGTGGGAAAGGGGGAGTAAATAATGAAGGCGGGGGTGGGGGTGGGGGAAGGAAGCACTAGAAGGGATTGTGACTGCACAACTCATTTTGAAGACAATTTAACCACAGTGGGGGGGAGGTAGTGCTAAAAAATTGATGTAGTAATGATTGTACAATTCTCCTTGATATAACTAAACAGCTGAACTATTGAACTGTATGATATATAAATTATGTACCAATAAAACTGTTGGGAGAAAAGGGCAGGGGATTCAGAACAGAACTTCAAATTCTCATGGATTGCAGACTTTCTGGAACCATGGGGGAGGGGAGGCCCTACAATTCTTGCCCCTGAAGTACCCTTCAAACTCCATGAGCAATACTGATTGCTGGCCTGGTGCAGCAGGGATGCTCTTGAGTCTTTCTATGGCAGCAGTTCTCAACCTGGGGGGTCGAACAACCCTTTCATGGGGGTCGCGCAATTCATCACAGTAGCAACATGACAGTGATGAAGTAGCAACGAAAATAATGTTATGATCAGGAACTGTATGAAAGGGTCACAGCATTAGGAAGGTTGAGAACCACTGCTCTGTGGGGTCAAACTGAACAGCTACTCGCCAGATGAGACAGGAGGCCTTGGGAGACAGACTGATGTGAAAAGGGAGGCAAACCTTAGAAGGGGAGGCGAGAGCGGAGGTCATGTCACCAGTGCCACTCAGAGGAACATGCAGAACCCGTTGAGTGGGCTGCCGCTCTGCTGGCTACACTGACAGGCTAGGTGGAGGGGGGGGCACAGTTTGTCCAGCCCCTTAGGTTGTTACAGGAGGAAACTGAGGCTGGAAAGGGTGTCATGACTTCCCAGCAGAAAAGAGACTCAAACACAACCCTCCACCCACGGCGCATCCATCCAGGATCTGTCCCGATATCCACCCAGTGTCACCCAACCAGGTCAAGATAAGACCCGGGGTCCTCGGGCCCTCAGGTAACAGCTTAGCCACTTGCTTCCACTGCCCTGGTCTGGTTCCTGCTGCCCTGCCCGGCCAGTACCAGGAGGCCCACCTTCCACGCTGAGGACAACAAGCGAAAGAGGAACTTCAGGTGGACAGGCTCCAGGCCTGCACACTGGGCCAAGAGAATAGGCACTGAGGCACCCACTGAGCACCCTGACCTCGGGAAACTGGGCCAGCCAGCACCTCCCAAGTAAAGGCCAGCTCTTCTCCTGATTGCATGCCAGCAACACGGCAGCCCAGGCTACCGCCACACAGCTCACCTCTAAACCCAGGAAGTGCCCCTAACTCAGCACCAGCAGCAGGAGGGCCCAGGCCTGGCTGAGACAACAGATAATGGAAGAGCCCGGAAGCACCTCGCCTAATTAAAATGGAGAATGTGGACAGTGGACAGCCAAGCCTATTATGGTTGTCTCCCGGGGAGCTCTACAGCAAGAGGGCAGGAGTCGGTCCAGAGACCTGGGCTTAGTCCTCGGCTCTTCTACCCGAGCTGAGCGACGCTGGGCAAGCCGTTCCAGTTCTCG